ATTTCCGACGTGAGCCTACATGTATCACCGTGTATTCCGCGTGCGAAGGTTTGCGTGGCGTTTCGCCCCGGGAACGTCGCGGTCATGTTATGTCCTCCTCTCTCCTCTCAAGCAAGCGCCGTGCTTGCACGTACACGCCGCGTGTGGAGTCGAGTTGGGGTCAAATTGTCGTTGCACGTGATTTGCCCTTTCGATGGTGTTTCGTTGATGGTGTGGAAAACATTAAGAGCATACTTGACTAGCGCTATGTATATGGCCGCACGATATGATGGTGTGCGTCGCATTACCAACATGGTTGACCCTTGTGCTGACACCAAAATCTGTCCTACACCCGCATTCCTTCGTGTTTGCAAACTATGCCTGGGTTGTAGGACGCGTGAGGCCGACAACTTGGACCGACAGATCGCGGAGGAGATGGCCATCAGGTTTAGCTCCGCAAAGCTTTTCAGGGAAATCTCAACAAGGACGTCCGGTAAGCGATGAGATTTTGCTTCGAAACGTGCACACACTCATTCTTCGGGCATTTTTTTTTGGCGCGTGTGCCACGTGAGACATTCGAACTCCAATGAAATAGAGGATGTGCTCTTCAACATTTGTAAGGCGAACGTGGCGAGGGCGTCGAGACGCTTTTTGAGAACAAGGCGCGTCGTGGGGTATCGATGTTTTGTGCCCTTTACCCTACCCGTGTGCGTGCAGGTGGAGCCCCCATACCGCCTCTCACCGGAGTTTTTACCGAGCACTCCTGCCTCAAAGCAGCTTCCACAGCCGTCATTGCTAGCTGTGGTCCCTGGAACGACTTCAGCCTCACGTACGTCCGTTCTTTGGCGACGCTATGCCAGGCGGGCTACCACGCCTTGCAAGTCCAGGCCGCTGCAGAGGCGGCCTGCCGGGTAGATGTGTAGAACTGCTCACACCACCACCAACGCTTCGGATTTCGAGTTGAATGTATGTGAATGTGGGGGTGACCGTGAAGCTCACAATGCTTATTGTAAATAACACTATAGACGTAGTTCAGAGTTTGCGCTACAAGCACTCTTTTGGTACGCGTTGACTTGTAAAAAAAAGCAAAAAAAGCTAGTTTTCTCGCTAAGCCGTAGATGATCATGCGCGTGAATCGTGGTTGGGTTTTGGCGTCGACAGGGGCTATAGTAGATATTTAAGGGGATTGGAGAAGTATCTGGTGTTGTTTTCACAAACCGTTTGCAGACAGGCAAGCTTATCTAGTATTCGATGCAGTCGTCGGTGCACATTTTTGTGACACTTAATACTACGTTTTTGGGTGGTCAACGCTCAACAGCCTCTTGAGCATGTATGTGCAGAATGAAAGAGTTCCGTAGACCATGCACTCGTTCTTCATTCGCAGCGCTACCCACGTGGCTCGGCAGCGCACGGGAAAGTCATGGTGTCATGTGAATGTAATGGGGTAGGATCAACACCAGAGCGGGCGTGTTCGTTCTTTGGTGCATCGTTGTTGCCTCCATAGGTCAGGCGGTACGAAGCTATATTCTTCAGTATATCTTTTGTGTGGACGAAGTTCGCACCACCAATGATGGCAGAACAACACAGGGCGATAGGAATAGATGGGCATGCATGTGCGTTTTTTCTGACGAGGCAAGTAATGGGCATGAAAGCAGCATGTGACTCGGCGCGACGGTTTTGATCTTTGTTTTCTTGAGTCGCCTCTGAGTCCGTTCACTAAGGTATTAGTCGTTTGACTTTAACCCTAAATCGGCTTCACACGTCTCCATGATTGGACATGAGGTTGATACATTTGGTCGCAATTCCTTCTTTGGAGCTTGCTTTGGGATGTGGGGATACGGAGTTCCATCTGCTGAATGTTACGTAGTTGATGTCTACTCGGGGTTACTGCTTAGCTTCCCAACGAAAAATGTTAACAGATGGTTGATTCGTTCTCACTGATAGTCTACTGCTCCGCTCTGCTGTTTGATCCTTAGACACGTCTACGATCGAACACTCCCGGGCTCCCACGGGAGCAGATGCGGTGCTCACAGCAATAATCATCGTGACGGTGGCTCTCTCTCACTCAAATATTTTTCTCTCCAGCTCTCCGATCTCAAGAGAGAGAGCATGAGAGATACATCCTTGCGGCTGCTTCCGTGTAGCCCCTCATTATCGATTCCAGGACAAACACACTCTTCATCCTGTTATGTGAACGGCGAAGTCTGACGGAGCTATCTCGCCGAGGTCGACTGCTGTTTGTGATGTTTTTTTCGGGGTCTGGGGTCGAAGTGCACATAGAATACATGTAGATTAGCGTCAGCTGTATGTAGTAGTTGGTCTATGAGCACGGAAGGCGTTGTTGGAAGGTTACGGATGTCACACAAGGTACTGAGCAGAGACCGGAACGTGTAGACAACAATGTAATATCATCCTCAGTGGGAGAAAATACAACACGCAGGATACAACAGACACATGCATGCGTGGATGCTGTTTTGTTTTGTTTTTGTCTCCCATTATTGGACTCTGTCGTCTGCCCCTCTGACCCCTATCCTCCACTTCTACCAGCTAGACGATCCAACCGGGGTCATAACGGAAGGGGGGGTTGGACCCCCTCCTGCGGTTCCTGCCTGAGATATTTTTATCGTGAGAAGGGTACAGCAATCTCTTCCCTCGCGACTCATGTGTATGTATGTGCGTCGGGCAATATCTCAATACTTCTTACCAACCGGTCGCCCCGGTGGTTTAGTGGTATCCTCGTAATCCGCTAGTTGCAGAGGTCGTGAGTTCGAATCCCCATGGGGCGAAAAAATTACGAAATGTGCGGGTGAAAGCGAAATATTGCTGACAAGCTCTCGTGTGTACCAAACATCGACGGTAGCACCATTGACGAGGGAAAGGGACGGCTGGACCCTCTCGCGTTAAAAATACTATTAAAATGCAGCACGCACCGCAGGAGGAAGGTGGGGCATGAAAAGAAATAAAAGGAAGAATAAAGCCCTGGTGTTTACCCCCTCCTGTGTCACCCTGGATGGTGGTAGTTGTACGAAAAAATAGTCTACACTGAAAAGTTTAGTACAGTTGGCGCCCGCAGTTAAGAAACGCTTATTTCAGGTCCAGCCTCGAATTCTTATTGTGGGCTATAAACTCAGCGTATGTATGTATGTCGTTCAGTTCCTTATTTCAAGTTCCATATTTTTTCGTGCAGCCAAATCCTACTGAATTTCTTTAATCGGCAATTTCTTATTTCTCTGCTTGCATACATACTAGTCTACACAACGTTCCAAATAAACAAACGATTTGCACTGCTTTCCTCGACCCCCGTACTCAACCCCGATTCTCACTACCGACGGCTGCACGTAAGGCCACTCCCTAGAAGCGAAATGTATCCAGCGGCAACGTCTCGCTATCGCTACAAGGTCCTGTACCCCCCTCATGAGTGAGGGCTGAAACTAAACCAATGCTGAATAAACACCGCATGATGCCTCACCCGCACGCTGACGTGCCAACAACGAAAACTATCCCGTCATTATGTTGCAAGCTCCGTGAGGCGAACATTGGGGGTTGTCACCCTTTTGCGCCTCCCGCTCCCTTCCTTTGGGTCTACCTCTAGGAGAACCCACGCCCCAATTCCGGCGTCTTCATCCGTGCTGTACGACTCCAACGGCATCTTCATGCTACGCGTGCTTTCGTTACAGTGCAGGATGACGCGGTAGTCGTACTCCTGCCGCGAAGCGGGGTGAGATCTGCGACTAATTAACCCAACCCGAGTTTCACGAGAACCCCACGCTTCACTATCGACTGATCGAGCGGTCGCCGCTGTGTTTCTTATTGAGAGATTTCTTATGGTGTGACCCAGATTGAGCTATGTTTCTTAACCCTATTTTCTTATTTTTCGTGAAAAGTGAGCCTCAATTTCTTAGTAAAATATTTCTTAACTGCGGGCGCCAACGANCTTCACTATCGACTGATCGAGCGGTCGCCGCTGTGTTTCTTATTGAGAGATTTCTTATGGTGTGACCCAGATTGAGCTATGTTTCTTAACCCTATTTTCTTATTTTTCGTGAAAAGTGAGCCTCAATTTCTTAGTAAAATATTTCTTAACTGCGGGCGCCAACGAAGTACTCTACATACGCTGAAAAGTGCAGTACACGTCTCACCACGAAAAATGGGGGGACTTTCGCCATAATTTAAAAAAGGACGAAAACACACACACACACCAAACCAAAGAAGAGCCACAAGACTAGTNTTTAACCGCTTTGCAAATGGTGATCTGAGTGAACCTATCGCCTGGCTCATGATGTACGAGAAGAATCGTCGACTTCAGTATTATGCGGATACTGAAGACAATCGCCAAAGAAGAGCCACAAGACTTGCGCACGAAAGCGGAGGCATCACTAAAGCTGCCAGTGCCTTAATTTCCCCAGCACCTTCACCGCGCAACAACGACACGCTGGAGCATCTTCGCAACCTACACCCTAACGAAGATCCTGACGATATTGCTACTGCGTGGGATTCCAGCATCAAAGCTGCGGGAGATAGTATAAAAGCGCACAAGATAGACTCCGTCGCCAAAGCTGATGAACCATTCGAAATCAAGTTCATCGAGCAGACGGTGAAGAAAGCCAACCAACCCTCTCAGAGCGCTCCGGGGCCTGATGGTCGTCGTTTTTCGTATCTCCAAGCTGGTGGGATGAGTGGTTCTTTTACTGAAACCTTGGCGGACTTCAGCTGTAAAGTCTTCTACTACGGAGACGAGCTTCCGGATTTCTTTTGGAACCTCCACACCAGTGCCAACGTTCCAGCGCTGCGAGGGAAAAAACTACCATTCGATATACTCGTAGGATAGCGGTGGGGGTGGTATATTGCGTATACATATGCGGGATTTGTAGTGACGAACTACGGAGGAACAAGAAGTTTTTTTTTTTTTTCTTAATATGACACAACGAGTCCATCTCTATCATAGAAAAGAGTCAGAGACAGATTAACAATGGAATCATAGCGTCAGAGAAAACTACCTGTGTGTCTACGATTTCCCAGACAGCATATAGGGACATCTCCCCTGTGGGTAACAGGCTCAACAAATCAGTTTGGTAGCTGTCTTGTGTGTCTCATATATGTTATGTTGGGAAGGTCAGACGAAAGGTGTTGGGTACTGTTGGGTAGTCGGGCGTATGTATGTGTGTCGCACCCTATTAGTTCTAACACATGCAATCTCCATCAGTTTACAAACATATTCTCAGTTTGGTATGCATATGTGCGGAGTATGTGCGGCTGATGTGCCATCTCTATCATAGGAAAGAGTCAGAGACAGATTAACAATGAAATCATACGGTCAGAGAAAACTACCTGTATGTCTACGATTTCCTAGACAGCATATAGGGACAACTCTCGGGTGACAGGCTCAAAAGATCAGTTTGGTAGCTGTCTTGTGTGTCTCATATATGTTTTGTTGTGGAATTTCATGTAGTTAAATGTGAGAAGGGCACGGGAGAACATTTCTCATCATTGCCTCCTGATGACGTGGTCGCCGATAGAGGCGTGTGGTTGATGAGGTTTCATAACCGACATGTGGGTGTGTGTTAAATGCAGTGGGTGTGTTCACCTCTCTCGTCCGTGTGTAGGCAGGAGGTATGGCTACCTCTCCCATTTGTAGGCAGCGTGGACCATACTTGTAAATATAGTCTAGACAGAGTAGTTCATCATTTCATGCATGTTACATCATTTGTGTTTGACAAGGGAGGAATGAGAGGTTGTGCGTATGGGTACGGGGGTACTCCCTGTGTCCGTGTTGTTCCCAGATGTTGCCGCATCAAGTGGCAGCATGTGTCATGGACAGGTAGACGTGGAAGGACGGCGACAGGTGAACGGCAGCAGTAGTATGTTGTGCATGGTGGCATGTTGGGCTTGTGCAGAGGCGCACAGTCCATCTTCGACCACACGCAAAAAAGTTTCCTCGTACCTGTGGGGATTTTTCGAAGTCCTGGGTCAGCCAAGAGCAGCAGCAAGGAGCAAACGCAGTGCAGTATACTCTACAGCTTTACAGTCCGTCCTCCTCAAGTCCTATCGGAGATGATTAGTATCGCACAACGGCTGGATCCGAAATGCCGGCTAGCTCCGCAATCCAAGAGAGGTGGGTGGCTGAGCTAAAACCGGAATGACTGCATGCGTGCTCCTCTCAGCGACATCGCTGGCTGGCTCTTTGAAGTGAAGATTTCTGGTTCAGCGGAATTTGATTCCCAATTCTTCGTTGTATCCTGGGTGTATGGGAATTTTTGAGAAAGGTGTACAGAAATTGATTATCCTAATTGCAAGGGACACGTTTCATTTTCAGTGTTCCCCCTTGCGGTTTCGACGGTTAAATATGCGGTTACCCACAGATTTTCGCATCGCTATAAGCTATCAGGCTCCTACAAAAGTATGCGTGTACAATTTTGGTAGCGCTAGAAGCAATTTGAACATGATTTTTATGTCATTATTTATAAACAGGCGTTCTTATTTTGCACATAGACATGTAACGATATTTGAACATAACACAACAACACTACTCCAGGAATTGCTCAACAAAGAAACGGGACACTAACCAATACAGGAAAGNAATTGCTCAACAAAGAAACGGGACACTAACCAATAAAGGAAAAGATAATCGCACGCAGGCTAATCTACCAAAAATTCATTCGTATCTACTCGATTCCAAATACCCAACTCCACTTTCTTCCAGTATGAATTCCGCACCATAGGTGCATTTACACCCACGATGTTTGCAGTCACTGGCGAGGTACGAAAAAAGGTATACATGAAATTGTGTAAAGTATTACGTATAAGTCGACTAGAATAGAAACGTGCAAGCATGTCAGCTATCAATCTGGCTGTCTGTGGCAGCTTGGAAAAATCGAATGCCAGTACATCTAATAGCAAATCGGCACATTTGACAGTGTAACGTCGACATCTTACACCTAGTAGATAACACTGTTTCCCAATGTGGGAATGCCCGATATTGCTTCTGCGTAGCCATATGTTGGCGCTTATTATACATACCGATACAAGTCTTACCAGGAATGTCTTGCCCTATTTGCATATCCAGAAAGTGTGCTGATTCCCCACACTGTTCTTGGGTAACGCGAACGGGGTTGTCTATCTCATCACCATTCGAATCTAACACCATCGTTGGGTACATACCACCATATTGATTACCCTCCTTATATATAATATCTTCAAATGTTGGTCCAGTCTGGTTACCATATCGCACCGTAAAAATGTCATCTATATACCGTTTTGTACCAATCAATGCTTATTGCTCAATAAATTTAAATGGATACAACGATGTAGTCCCAGCGTGTGTAGCAGTTAAATACTCATCCACCATTTCCTTCAAAAAATCGAATTCATGCATAAATCCCAAGGAGTCTGCAACAGAACTAGTAAAACCAATCACTACCAGTTGAGGTACCTTACTACGTTGCTTACCCAGCGGAGGGGGGAAAGTCGCGAGGTATGCTTTGCGTAGTGCCTGGAACGCTAAATGCACATCCTCTGTGATACCCACCTGCCCTACATACCTAACCATGCGCAGCATGTTTTTTGGTGCTAGCGCTTTGATGTAGGCATCGACTTTATAAGGCTTGTACTGAATTAGCTTGGCAAGGTACTGTATTCGTCGTTTCCAGTCACGGGACCGGAACCTCCTCTTCTGGCAACCCCCATTTTTCGTAGTCTTGCGTGCTTCGTGTCTAGACCGTTTGATCGGTCGCGTACCAAAACCATGCGAAGGCAAACCCGGGCTAGAGGGGCATGCAATCTCTCTCTTGGTATTGTAACCATTTCTGACAGTGTCCATGCATGCAATCCAAGAATTTTCCCTCTGCCGCCAGTGTAATAGTGTGCCAGACCTATGGCCTTCCGGCAAGTAACGGGGGAGTGTCTCGAGCTCAAAAACCGCAAACTTAGTCCAATCGAGGTCTAGTGTCCTGCCCAACCGATCTCCGGTACCTAAATGCCCCGCAAATCTTATGTTTTCCTTGGGAGTGTGGTAGATTGAGATTGGTGGACATTCATGGAGATTCGTTTTGGGTGTTTATTTAAGCGTTATGCGTGACTTGATGCCGTGATTGAATGACGAGCTCAAGCACGCCCCCGATGAATACAACACGTTTTTCAACACGTCTGCACGAGTTTACCTACCCCTACGGCCCGTCATGGCCGAGCTGCTCTACACTCCCATCACACACAACTGAGCCACCCAAATGATCAATCACGCTACCGGACATGAGGCGGCAACAAGACGAGGAGCAGAGGACAGAGAACGTCCGGACCGGAAGCGAGCACGAGACACGCCACCAGCAACAAGCGGCGCGGCCATCGGCGAACCCGGCCGTACATGACATCGCCCGCACTCTCGTAGACGCCATGTCCAGCCGAATGCAGATATCACCACGGGACATCGGTAGAGTACCCAGTACAGGAGGAAGTATTCGCATGACAGAGGTTACGAGCCTAGCGCCTTGGGATGGGATTTTGAAGCAAGGGGAAGATGAGCAGCCGAAGTGTTTGACACTTGGACAGCGATGATCTGGGTGAGGATAGGCATGTATGTTACAGACGTGATCAGCAGGTTCCACGCCATAATTGCCTTTTCCACGCTGTCACTCGAATGCACCCTACGCAGCTCCTCCATGCTCACTCCTTNACGAGGAGCAGAGGACAGAGAACGTCCGGACCGGAAGCGAGCACGAGACACGCCACCAGCAACAAGCGGCGCGGCCATCGGCGAACCCGGCCGTACATGACATCGCCCGCACTCTCGTAGACGCCATGTCCAGCCGAATGCAGATATCACCACGGGACATCGGTAGAGTACCCAGTACAGGAGGAAGTATTCGCATGACAGAGGTTACGAGCCTAGCGCCTTGGGATGGGATTTTGAAGCAAGGGGAAGATGAGCAGCCGAAGTGTTTGACACTTGGACAGCGATGATCTGGGTGAGGATAGGCATGTATGTTACAGACGTGATCAGCAGGTTCCACGCCATAATTGCCTTTTCCACGCTGTCACTCGAATGCACCCTACGCAGCTCCTCCATGCTCACTCCTTCTTTTCCGACTGGAATTTTTTCTTCAGTCAGTACCACGCCACGCACACTCCTTTCTGCGCAAACATAGCTACCATGTTCGATCGAAAAATCAACTTAGCCTGCTCATCTTCCCCTTCCTTGAAAATCCCATCCCAAGGCGCTAGGCGCTTATAACCTCTGTCATGCGAATACTTCCTCCTGTACTGGGTACTCTACCGATGTCCCGTGGTGATATCTGCATGGTCTCTCCTACTTTCATCTCAAGACCGTGGTATTGGGATGACAACCTTTCTTTCTCGGCTCTGGCACGCGGCTCGTAATAGTTGAGGAATATTTTCCAACCTCCACTTGGACTACCATCAGCGATGATCTGGGTACTCTACCGATGTCCCGTGGTATAATCTGCATGGCAAAATCCCATTTCAAGGCGCTAGACGCTTAACCTCTGTCATGCGAATACTTCCTCCTGTACATCGGTAGAGTACCCAGTACAGGAGGAAGTATTCGCATGACAGAGGTTAAGCGTCTAGCGCCTTGAAATGGGATTTTGCCATGCAGATTATGTACCGATGTACAGGAGGAAGTATTCGCATGACAGAGGTTAAGCGTCTAGCGCCTTGAAATGGGATTTTGCCATGCAGATTATACCACGGGACATCGGTAGAGTACCCAGATCATCGCTGATGGTAGTCCAAGTGGAGGTTGGAAAATATTCCTCAACTATTACGAGCCGCGTGCCAGAGCCGAGAAAGAAAGAAAGGTTGTCATCCCAATACGACGGTCTTGAGATGAAAGTAGGAGAGACCATGCAGATATCACCACGGGACATCGGTAGAGTTCTCAGTACAGGAGGAAGTATTCGCATGACAGAGGTTGAGCGCCTAGCGCCTTGAAATGGGATTTTGCCATCCATGCAGATATCACCACGGGACATCGGTAGAGTGCCCAAATCATCGCTGATGGTAGTCCAAGTGGAGGTTGGAAAATATTCCTCAACTATTACGAGCCGCGTGCCAGAGCCGAGAAAGAAAGGTCGTCATCCCAATACCACGGTCTTGAGATGAAAGTAGGAGAGACCCCCCAAGAATACTTCGGGAGATTTGCTGTTTTGCGCAGTAGGCTAGCCTCGCACGGTGTTATTTTCTCCGACGAAGATGCCAATGCCCACATGGTATATATACCACCTTTCCGACAAGTACATGATGGAGAAGAAGATTCTGACTATGTCACCGATTCCCCCCTCGCGCGAAGAAATCGAAAACGGTGTGCGAGATGCCCATGCGCAATTGCTTCGCCGTCGGGAGGAGGAACCAAAGAATGGCGCGGGGCACGCGTTCGTCGCTTCCGGTGGTATCCGGGGCGATGGACGTGTCCAAAATGGGTCGAGTGGAAACGGCGGGGGACAGGACGGAGACGGAGGCGCCCGGAGTCGGAGCAGGAGCAGAGGGAGAGGAAACAAGAAAGCAGCAGAGAGAGGAGCCGACAACGACCACTGCTACCTACATCCGCACATGTCCCACACTAACGCCCAGTGCTACACTCAAAGCGACCGTCAGAAGAAACAAGAGCAGCAGCAGCCTCAGCAACAGCAGCAGCATCCGCAGCAACAGCAACTTCATGGACCGCCGCCGCAGCAGCAAAGCTACAGTGGGGGGGCTGGGGCGGTGGGCCTCAGCACGGACCTCACAGCGGCTACGGAGGACAGTATCAGCACAGGTATACAGCTCCCCCTCGTCCGCCACAGCCGCCGTGGCGGCCTCCGTACGGGCATGCAAATGTGACGCATGCGTATAGTACTATGCCCTACGGGGGGCCCGCGTATGGTAGCGAGTATGTGGGGTGGGAGCAGCAACAGCAGCAGCAGCAGCAGCCTTCGCCAGACTATTACCAGCAACAGCCGTACTACCCGCCTCCGACATCGTACTACCAGCAGCAGCAGCCACCACTGCAGCCTCCGCCACCGCCGTCGTTTCAGCCGCAGCCGCAGCAGCCGCAGCAGCAGCAGCACTTAACCCATGCCCCGCCCCAGTCGCCTTCTCCCGGAGCAGCAGCTTTTCCGCCTGGGCATCTTCACTCCCTGATGGCACACTTTGTGTCCGCTGACGAGATAAGTTCGCTTTCGGTTTCGAGTGATGTAGGCAGTGTCGCATGTGGTGATCTTGGTTTTGCTTTGTCTGCACAGGGTTGCGAGTACAGTCCTGGTAGGGAGGTATTTTGGTCTGATAGCGATGCAAGTAACCATTTTGTGAGTAACAGCTCCAAGATGTACAACATCTCGCCTGTTCCCCCCGGCAAAGAATTCATCCGAGTAGGCAATGGTGCTCATTTGCGCGTGAGTGTGTGGGTAGTGTCAATCTGGCATTCCACACGGCAGGAGGCCGCTCGGGAGAAGTGGATTTTTGTGTCCAATTGACAGACGTGTACGTAGTGCCAGGAATTTCGTTCAACTTGTTCTCTCTGCACCAAACGCAGAAAAAGCACAGGATAATGTTGGATGAGAGGGGTGTGCACCTTTTCGGCGGTCGGCTTAGTTTCGCATATTCGGATATCGGATGCTCTCTATCGGCCACCCGCTTGCCCCCCTC